AGTAATTTAGTTAATAAAAGATCTGTGTTTATTTAACAAAAGCTTTAGAACAGTCGAACAGTTATAAAGTTAATAAACTAAAATTTCAAAAAAAAAATTTTTTGGTTTATTTCACGTGAACAGTCTTGTTTTTTGACAGAGTACTTGCCTAATGTCAAATAAATAATTTTTAAACAAATAAACCCAAAAAAACGAAAAATGTAAAAAATATTTTTAATAACATGTAAAAATACATTTAATATTTCGCCCCAGGGTGCATTTTTGGCTTCAACAAAAAATATAAATAATATGACTAAAGATATTTAGCAAATACCTTTAGGTATCTCTTCAGGGGACCCAAATAAGGACCTAAGAAAATTCAAAAAATATATACTTAAAAGTTGATATTTTCTTTTACGAAAAAATTTTCAGAAGTAGGGTGAAAACAAACTTTAAATATGGACACCACAAAAATGAACAGAATGTCACATAACTCTGGACATTTATTTAGAGTGATAACACCCTTCTATAATTAAAATTGCAATGCTCTACACAGAAAAAAATGCGAATGGTAAAAACAACCACATTTGTGTAGTTAGAAAAAAAGTAGTTAAAACTACCATATTCAGCAGCATTTTAACTACACTTCCTCAGTTAGTGGAACCAAAATGAAGTAGTTGGTTTTATGTAGTTAAAATAACTACTTTACGTAGTTGAAATAACTAACAGATGCTTGTAAATGGCTCAACTATAGTGTAGTAGTAAAAACTATTGTTAAAAATAGTTAATTTTACTATTGTGGTAGCAAAAATAACTATTTTGTATTAGTTGCAAACAAAATGAGACTTACTGTTTTTATACAGTAAATACAACCTCTGAAAGTTGTTACTTTTATGATTTATGTAGTTAAAACAACTATTTCTTACTAGTTGCAGAGAAAGAAAGAAATTTACTGTTTTCATATAGTAAAATCAATTGTTGAAAATAGTTATTTTTACTATTTATGCAGTTGAAAAGATCATTTTTTTCTACAGAGAAAAAACGTGAGTGGTAAAAACATCCACATATGTGCAGTTAAAAAAAAATAGTTAAAACTACCATATTCAGCAGCATTTCAACTAAACTTCCATAGTTAGTGGAACTAAAATTGAATAGTAGGTTTTATGTAGTTAAAATTACTACTACACGTTATGATTGTAAATAACTCAACAATAGTGCAGTAGTTAAAAGTACTGTTAAAAATAGTTATTTTCGGAATTTCTGCAGTAGAAATATCCATTTCTTGCTATTTGCAAAATAAATTAAAATTTACTGTTCCAAAGAGTAAAAACAACCGCTGGAGTTTGTTATTTTTGTGTTTAATGTAGTTAAAAGAACCAATTCTTACTAGCTTTTAATAATTTATCTCTATGGTGGTAAGAAACATTTATTTTTATGTTATTTTTACTATATGAAAATAGTAAGTTTAATTTTTTTATAACTAGTAAAAAGTGGATAATTTTACTACAGAAATTCTAAAAATAACTATTTTCAACAGTACTTTTAACTACTGCACTATCGTTGAGTCATTTAAAATCATATGCTGGCTACATTTCAACTAAGTCCTTGAGCTTAAAAAATTAGTTACTGCAACTAAACGGAGTAGTTATTATGACTGAATCTAAGAAGAATGTCCTCAAGTACAATGCCAGTCATCGTAGCGTGCGAGCGTGGTTAGGTGGTTAGGTTATCGGTTTGCGAATGTTAGGGTCGTGCGTTCAATCCCCGGCGTTTGGGGATTTTTCTCTGTTAGGTGTATAAGAATTTAATATATAAATTATATATGAACAAAAATAGGTAAGAGAAAATATAAAAAAATGGACCTCAATAATAATAAAAAACAAATAAATAATTTCATTTTACTACTTTAAATAGTTAATTTAACTATTTTTTACAGTTGTTACAACTACAATTTGTTACGGGCGCCTATAGGAACTATGAAAATTTAGTTACTACAACTAAATGAAGCAGTTAGTATGACTAACAACAAATAGTTAAGATAACTGTTTTAGTAGTTAAATTTACTGTAAAAATGGTATTTATTACCACATTTTACAGTTGGACTAACTATTCTGTCATAGTTCATTTTACTAAATAATGTTACGGGCGCCTATAGGAACTACAGGAAATAGTAAAAAAGTAGTCAAATTTACCATATTTTTTTTTGTGTGTAACTATTTCCGTTCGAAAGATAATGAATTTTAACTGTTTTCACAGTTTAACCCCCAGGTGCGAATTTTGGTCGGCCGCCAGAGTTGGAAGGTCGGGCGCAGGTCGGCCCATCTATGGCTGCCAATAGGTCGGCAGCCAAAGTCGGGCCGACTTTGGTTACTGTTTCCACCCAAGTTTGGGCCGACTATGGGTGCCAAAGTTTAGAGAACCTAATTTTAGTTGGTCGGGCCGACTCTGGCCTCAGTCGGGCCGACGGTCGGTAAAACTATGGCAGCCAGAGTTTAGAGAACCTAATTTTAGTTGGTCGGGCCGACTCTGGCCTGAGTCGGGCCGACGGTCGGTAAAACTATGGCAGCCAGAGTTTAGAGAACCTAATTTTAGTTGGTCGGGCCGACTTTGGCCTGAGTCGGGCCGATGGTCGGCTAAAGTATGGCAGCCAGAGTTTAAAAAGGTTAATTTCTGTTGGTCGGGCCGACTTTGGCCTGAGTCGGGCCGATGGTCGGTAAAACTATGGCAACCAGAGTTTAGAGAACCTAATTTTAGTTGGTCGGGCCGACTCTGGCCTGAGTCGGGCCGACGGTCGGTAAAACTATGGCAGCCAGAGTTTAGAGAACCTAATTTTAGTTGGTCGGGCCGACTCTGGCCTGAGTCGGGCCGACGGTCGGTAAAACTATGGCAGCCAGAGTTTAGAGAACCTAATTTTAGTTGGTCGGGCCGACTTTGGCCTGAGTCGGGCCGATGGTGGGTTAAACTATGGCAGCCAGAGTTCAGAGAACCTAATTTTAGTTGGTCGGGCCGACTCTGGCCTGAGTCGGGCCGATGGTCGGCTAAAGTATGGCAGCCAGAGTTTAAAAAACTTAATTTCAATTGGTCGGGCCGACTCTGGCCTGAGTCGGGCCGACGGTCGGTAAAACTATGGCAGCCAGAGTTCAGAGAACCTAATTTTAGTTGGTCGGGCCGACTCTGGCCTGAGTCGGGCCGATGGTTGGCTAAAGTATGGCAGCCAGAGTTTAAAAAACTTAATTTCAATTGGTCGGGCCGACTCTGGCCTGAGTCGGGCCGACGGTCGGTAAAACTATGGCAGCCAGAGTTTAGAGAACCTAATTTTAGTTGGTCGGGCCGACTTTGGCCTGAGTCGGGCCGATGGTGGGTTAAACTATGGCAGCCAGAGTTTAGAGAACCTAATTTTAGTTGGTCGGGCCGACTTTGGCCTGAGTCGGGCCGATGGTGGGTTAAACTATGGCAGCCAGAGTTTAAAAAACCTAATTTCAATTGGTCGGGCCGACTCTGGCCTGAGTCGGGCCGACGGTCGGTAAAACTATGGCAGCCAGAGTGCAAAAAACCTAATTTCACTTGGTCGGGCCGACTTTGGCCAGAGTCGGGCCGATGGTCAGTTTGAAGTTGCAGCTTATAAAATCATTTTTGTTCTTAGGCTTTCATGTAAGCGTAGCGTAATGGTTAGCGTGTTAGACTTCGGTGCGTTAGGTTGCGAGTTCGATTCCTGCGAGCGTTAGAAATTTTAATTTGTATTTATGTGTAAGATTGCGTTTAGTGTTAAGATGTATACAATAAACAAATAAATAATGAATAATAATAATTAATAATAATAATAAATAATTAATAATTTTTTGCAATCGGTCGGCCGACTTTTGGCTGCCAAGGTCGGCACGACCAAGGTTGCCAAAGTGAATCCGACCTTTCTTTCTCATGGTCGGCAAAGCTTTGGCACCCCTGGTCGGCCCGACTTTGGCAACCATAGTCGGCACGACCATGTCAGCCACTGGACGGCGGGTGTTACAATTCGCTAGTTCGGCCGACCTTTGGCTGCCAAGGTCGGCACGACCATGGTTGCCAAAGTCAAGCCGACATTCTTTCACATGGTTGGCAAAACTTTGGCACCCCTGGTCGGTCCGACTTTGGCAGCCATAGTCGGCCCGACCATGTCAGCCACTGGACGGCGGGTGTTACAATTCGCTAGTTCGGCCGACCTTTGGTTGCCAAGGTCGGCACGACTATCCACTTGGTCGGCGCGACCATGGCCCGACCAACTTTTCGCACCTGGGCCTTTCGCCCCAGACTCCCCTACTGAATAATATATTATTAGTTAATTTAAGGGGACACCTAAGTGGAAAAATGACAAAAAAATCGATTTTTTTAAATTTGATTTTCTAAAAGTAGACTCAATTAGGAATAGAACAAGACTTTTTAAAACCTTTTCTGAAAAGTAGAAAAAATCTGATTACAGGATTCCGAATACCATGAGTTTTTAGTATTTTGTCTTTTTTCGTGTCTCCTGTAAAAATGTTTTTTTCCAATTTTTTAACTTTCGGTACACTTTTCTCCGAATCTACTAAACCGATTTGTAATTTTTTTTTTACTTTGTTCAGTATGGTTCCAAGAATACGAATAAGAAGTTTAACATCATTTTGAGTTGTACAAACGGAGATATGAGTCAATGAATCAGAGAAAATGAGATTTTTATTTTGCTTTGGGCATAAATATTCATAAAAAAGTTTCTATTGGAGATAACGTTGTATTACTTCTTATTCATATAATTGATTATATTTGTAATCGAATGAAAAAAGAGCGAACGCAATTGGAATAATAGTTTTCGAGAAAAGTGTACCGAAAGTTGACTCTTTTTGCATTGTTTTTAGGTGACTTGGGTGTCCCCTTAATAAAAATTAAGATATTTAATTATAGAATTACTTAATATAAATGTCAATAATAATAATTAAATATTATATAGGTAATGTAATTAATTTCTCTTGATGAATCATACAGATTTTTCTCTGATTCTTTGATTACAGAGAGAAATAGATAGAGATCATAGAGAGCAACGTGATCACGAAAACGAGGAACACAAAATAGGAATGGATTTCCGGGGATTAGCACAACACATGAGCGCGGATCATTCGAGAGATGCTGACACAGATGTAAATTTAAATTACTATTTATAATTAATTTAATTAAATTAATTTATAATATTCAAATTAATTACCATTCGCAGAGAGATATGGAAACTGATCACGACGATCAAGTCGAGAATTTATGTGACGAAAAACTGGATCACAAAATGGAAAGAGATTTTCGTAATTTAGTGCAGCATCCAGCCATGGTAAGGAATATTTTTAATATAATTATTCAAAAGTGGAAAATTAATATTTTAAAAAATTGTTTTTTTTTTAATTTTAGCGCGATTTGGAGAGAGATCAAAGTAATCACATGGACAGTTTACACGATGACAAATCAGATCACAAAATGGGAAGAGAATTTCGTAACATGAGTCACCATCCTGGAATGGTACATTTACATTCTGGCATTGAACACCTGAGTAACTCAGATGTCGAGGTGAGAACATAATTTTTTTCCTCATTAAAATCACAAGATTAGTGCAAATTAAATAAAATATGTGAGTGGGGTAATTTTATTTATTGCGCCGATTGTCTAATCATTTAGCTATTACATCGTCTCTAATGGTAATAACAATGTTAATAATAAAATTAATTTCAATAATATGTACGAAAGAGCATAGTCGCGTCTATTATTAAGTAAATTTAAAAAAAATTATTCAATTGAAATAAATCTCTTTCTACAAATTCTTGAAGAGTAATTATTAGATAATTTATTGCAAAAGTAACAAAAAATTTGAGACAATCTTTTCCAATACGGTGCACTATATAAAAGAGTGAAAGTAGATACATTTAAAGTATCTTTTAACGACTGTCCTATGAATTATACTTAGACAAAATTTTTGAAATATTTACTATTCCATATTAAAAATTAATATTCAGCATCTAATTTCTTTTTTTTTAATATATATTATTTATATTCCTTTTCAACTATGACGCAGAGATAAGGAAAAATTCGTTAAATGTCCCACTAAATATTTGCGGTTCTCAAAAGAGGGAAAGAATAAAAATTTTATTTCAAAAGAAATATTAAAATAAAAATTATTTTACAATGATATGGCATCATTTAAAGGTTAATATCTATCTTGAAGGACAAATTTACAAAAATAAAAAGCATTTTTTTCGCTAGAAAATATAGGTAAGAAAACAGTTACCTGCGCGAATAGTGTCTGCACGGTATAAATGCCCATTTCACGCTTTAAAGTGAAAATATTGTCAACCCTTGTCAACGGGGGTCGATTGTTCGATAACGACACTCTAAGCCATAAATTCGCTTATTTATCATTTTTAGCATGCAATAAATGTACAAATTACTGTTTAATATTTCTTTGTCATTTTTCTTTTAAGAAGTGACATTTTTCGATTATCAAGCTATCTGACTTGAACTATATATGTTGAAATTTCACTAATTATTTAACCTTCATTATCATTATCACTATTATTATTAGTATAGTAGTATTTAGGGGCTATTCAAAAATGCTCCCTCCTGGAACGCACTATTGCAAAAACTGTTAGCGCCTTTTTTCTGCAGATAACAACAAATGGCTTGACCCTCCTAAAAGAATTACGTTTTTTTTTTAATGGACCCCATTTATATGTTACTGACGTATTAGTATTATCAATTTCCCTGACATTTGCCGGACAATTTACTGATATTAAAACTATTTTCCCTGCCAAAATTCATTTTACAGGAAAATATAAAAGTATACGGAAAATGAGTAAAATCTCGAGTAAAATTTATAAATTTTAATAATTTCTCAAAATTACAATTATAACCTTACCTGAATTCAATTATTTTCTACAATTTTCAAATAAACTTCATCTCTAAATCAATTATTTTAAATAATTTTCCGAAAATTTTTTATAATAATTGTAACTGTCCATGCTTTTATCTGAAGTTATTAAGATGTCATATATTTTTAAATATTATAATAAAGGAATTCTTAGAATTAATATTTAAAAATATGTTTAAATAATTTTTCAAAAATTAAGAGTTTTTTTCATTGTTCAAAAAAGTTGGTATATTTTAAAAAAATTTTATTTATTTTGTTCGAAAATAATTGAATCTAAAAAAATTATGATAAATCACTTCTAAGAATTAGTTTTTAAAAATATTGTAATGTAATTTATTTTGAAAATAATTGAATTTCTTAAAAGAATTTTTATGTAATTTAAAAAAAATAATTAATTTTTTAATGGATTTTAATTAGAGCTGTGCAAAATTCGAACCGAACCGAGTTTTGTTCGGTTTTGGGGCGCCGAAATGTCGAATGTCGAATATTCGACATTCGAACTGGGCGACTGAAATGTCGAATTTTAGAATTCGACATTTTAGCGTACCAAAACCGAACAAAACTCGGTTCGGTTCGAATTTTGTAGTAACTCGAATGTCGACATTCGAACTAAGCTAACTCGAATGTCGAATTTTCGACATTCCAACTAGGCGAAAAAATTCGAACAGTTTGGTTCGAATTATTTTGCACAGCTCTAATTTTAATTAAAAATTTTGAAGATGATTTTTTTCTCAAAAATGTTACAAATAATTCTAAAATGTTATTGTTATTTTTTGCAGATGTATTTGAATTTTCAGAAATATGTAATTGAAAATATTGAAATTTTGATTTTTAAATTTACCTTTAAAGGTTTTTCATTAACATTTTTAATAATTCAATTATTTTCAAAATTTGTAATTAAAATTCTTCAAAAGTTGATTTTCAAAAATTGTAACAAAATACTTGAAAAAATTAATTATTTTCAATTAAATTTTACAAAATTTCAATTATTTAAGAAGATTTTTATTATTTTTTATTTGAAAAATTTATCTAATTATCTTAAATAATGATTCAAAAATAATTTTTGAATAAATATAGAAATAAGTTGCATTTTATAATAAAAAAGTAGTATTTTGTTGCAATATTTGACAATAAGTCGAAAAAAATTTTTTAATTTCCCTGACAAAAAAAATTTGTTTCCTGTCAAAACGTATCAAAATCAACAACAATTTTGATACTTTTTTGTTTCAATTAATTAGAAAAACCGTGTATTATTATTTATATAATTAATACAACCATCATTAATACTGACTAAAGAGTCAAAAATAAAGTACCTTTGGATAATAAAATAAATAATGTATAAAACATTTAAATACGTTCTGAAAATATTTGTTTTTGCAGATAAAATTAGCTCGAGATGTACGAGGTTCCCTTGGATTGGGATTATCACTGGAGCTTTGTGTGGTTTGTGGAGATAGAGCAAGTGGACGGCACTACGGAGCAATAAGTTGTGAGGGTTGCAAAGGATTCTTTAAACGAAGCATTCGTAAACAACTTGGTTATCAATGTCGAGGAAATAAAGCATGTGAAGTTACCAAACATCATCGTAATCGCTGTCAATATTGCAGACTCCAAAAATGTCTCGCAATGGGAATGCGTAGTGATTGTGAGTTTTTCTACGTTCTGTCATTCTTTTCGTCCCTTTCTTTCGACTTTCCTTACAAAATTAGTTAATTTTTGCTGCACAAAACAAAAAAATGTAAAGCATTTTAATTTTTAATCCTCCGTCCGCACCGCACTGAATCATTAGAATTATTGGAAAAATTGAAACTTCTCTATTGAATTTATTTTGATATTTGGCAAGAATTAGTAACTAAATTCGTAATGAAAGTTGAGAAGAAATTTGTTTGGTATAATAAACATTATCAAGCTTGGAATATTGCAGCTGTTCAGCATGAACGTAAACCAGTATTGGGCGATTCAACTGGGGCGAAAGGAGGAAATCGGGGACCTAGAGTAAAACCAGAACCACAACAACCAGCTCCTGAGGCGGCGCCTACGTGGGAGCAACCTGAAAGTCCCAGCATGGAGGATCAGAGTAGCGATAGCGATCTCAGTGATGCTCTGACATTAGCGCGGGAGCGATTGCTCATTTCTCATGCATTGGACAGCATGGCTAAACTCATTGGGGATGTTAGTATAGAGACTTACTCTTTGAGACTGCTTCTTCTTCTCCTTCTCCATTTTTAGATTGATAGCTTCGACTATCTCTTGACTCACCTAAAAATGAAAATTTTTGAGTTTATGTTTGTCTCTCTGTTCCCTGAAGTTAGCGTCGACGCTAAGAAGAGTCAACAGATTTTTTTCTTTCTTTTTCTTTCTGTGAAACCAAAGAAATGCTGCGAGCGTCGACGCCAACTTCAGGAAACTTAGAGTTTGTAAGGCAAAGATTGAAATCATTAATGAACTTCTGCAGAATGTGAACGGTTCAGGCGAGCCGGAGGAAGAGTGGACTGGTCAGTTGTTATCGGAAAGGCATACTTTGTTTGAGTTGAGAGCACCTAGTCCTGCCCCGGCTTACTTGTCGATACACTACATCTGCGAAAGTGCTGCAAGACTTCTTTTCCTGTCGGTCCATTGGGCCAGAGGGATTCCAGCATTTCAAGCTCTACCGTACGTATACGTTTCATTTCGTAATCATTTCGTAATGTTTTCAATGAAATCTTTTTTATATTGACGGGTTAGAACGCGATTTTTATGTTTTAACGAATCTGGTAGGATATTCTTAAACATATTTTCAGTAGGTATAGTGTATAATATTGTTTTTAGACCTTTATAAATATTGAAGTGTTTTTCTGTTTAAATAAATTTAGCCTGATGAGGTTAGCAAACCTTAGTCAACGAAACGTTCCCATGATCATTTATTTTACTACTAACACTACATTCTACATTCTCGAGTTTATATGCAGCCGTTACTTCAGAAGTTACCACAAAAATTTTATTTTCTTTTTCCTTCATGTCCAGTCAAAATTTGGTTCATATGGGACTGTCCACGAGAAAACACGGCTTAGCTTTCACAGGGCGAGTGATTGAAGTAGAAGCAGAACGAAGGAATGCATACAATATAACATGTGACGCGTTCCCAAGAAAGGTACCCCTAAGAAGCAAAAAATTTGAGGTTATGTTTTAAATTTTTTGAGTAAAAATACAGAAAGAGAATCAATTAATAATTAAAAATTGTTGGTCTTCAAGTCTTTATTATATTCAAAATATTTAATGAATATTGGTTTCAAATTCAAATAATTAAAAATGAACTTTTAATCAAGATAAATCTAACTCGAACCCAACCTATAATTCGTTTGCTTCTTAGGTACCTTTCTTGGTGTCGCGTCAAACATCTTTAAAACGTTGTATTGTCAAAAGTAATTGACAATTTACAACTTTTGATTTTTGCATTTGAGAAAGTAATATAAAATCTATCTATTAGCATAAAAAATTCAAAATTGATTTTTTAGAGCTACAGTGTTTTCTCGTGGACAGTCACATATAAGATGTTGTTGTTTTTGGATTATATTCAATTTAGTAAGATGTTGATTTGTTTATTATAATATTTTAATCCACATTAAATTCAAATTATTCTCATGCGCCAAGCTTGAGAATTTGAATGTGAATTTAAATTTAATGTGGATTAAAATATAATAAACAAATCAACATCTTACTAAAAAAATGTTCTATTGGAATCATTTACGAATTTCATTAACTGTAAAATTATTCGAAAACAACAAGAACTTCTTTTTTAAACTCAGGGTTGCTACAAAAATTTAATTTTCTTTTTTCCTGTCTTTTCCCTGAATTCCGGACAAAATTTTAACTTTTTTCCTGACTCTCAAGAATATTCTGATTTACTCTAAAAGTAATTAGATAGTCAAAGAATGTTCTATTACATTAATTTACAAATTTTTTTAATTGTAAAATTATTCGAAAACATCAATAACTTCTTTTTTAAATAAATATATAACCATTATTATTTTTCCAAAGGAATTAAAATTTTCAAAAACATGACAGAATCATTATTTTATATATATAATTAAGAATATTATTACTGTAACTTCTTCAAAATTATTTTTATCATTTCAATTCAATTATTATTTTCTAGAATTTCGAACTAAAATTCTTCTTTAAATCAATTATTTTTAATAATTTTTGAAAAAGTTCGTTGAGAATTTTCAAATCCATTTGTTTACAATTTAATTTTATAAAATTTCGATTATTCGGAATCTCTTCAATTAAATATATATTAGAAAATAAAAACTTGAAACAATTTCAAAATAATTCAATTAAACTTTTTCAAAAAAATTAATTCTACTAAATTGTTAGTTAAAACGACAGGCAAACCTCTCTACGGTATGGCGATTCAAACAGCTAAACTAGCGCATCTGGTGGCCGAGTTTAAACTAATATATACACGACTCCCTGCATGGTGTTCAATGTAAATATCAACGTTTTTATAGTTTTTCAGTTTTATTTTCACTATTAAATCAAGTTTTTTTTTAATTGTTCTACTTGTTTAAATATTTATTAAATAAATTATAATAAATATGGATAAGAGCATCGTTACTCATGAACAGAAGAAAAGAAAAAACGGGATCGAAACAATTATTATGTTCCGCTCTAATTCTAATAATTAAATAATTCTAATATTAATAATATTATATTTCTAATAATCTAAAATTCTTATTTTATATTATTAATTTAATGTCTATAGAGATTAAATTAATAATATATAATTAGAAGTAATATAAAATTAGAATTTTTGTCAAACATATAAAAACATAACCAAAAAATGTTCTTTCTAGTTGATATGTAATCTTTAGATTTAAAATTTGTACTGCAAACTTTCATTTTGTCGGTTAATTTTTTTCCTGTTTTAAATGCAATAGCCTACTGTTTACGTCTTATGGAGCACTCACAGCTCTGCCTGCCTGTGCAGGCAGCAATTGGAGTAAGAGAGAAAGTCAATTAGAGTGAAAGAGACAGTAAATTCAAATTTGTATACTGCCTACTAGCTGTGAGTGCGCCTTTACAACATTTTTTGGAAGCTGATAAAGATTTTCTGTTTTTTTTTTCAATTCAGAGCGAATAACATTTGTTTCGTTCCCGTTTTTTCTTTTCTTTCTGTCCGCGAGTAACGATGCTCTTTCAAAATTATTATAATATATTTAATAAATATTTAAACAAGTAGAACAATTAAAAAAAAACTTGATTTAATAGTGAAAATAAAACTGAAAAACTATAAAAACGTTGATATTTACATTGAACACCATGCAGGGAGTCGTGTATATATTAGTTTAAACTCGGCCACCGGAGGCGCTAGTTTAGCTGTTTGAATCGCCAATACGGCGGAAGCTCGCCAGGTAGAAGTAGAAGGGATTATATCAGTGAGAGTTGTGACTGTGTGAGTGCCATCAAATTCAGGGCCGAAAAGTTCTGAATTGTAATTTTTATAAAGATGCTATCTTATTTAAATTATTTAATTTATATTTAATTTATAATTCTCTTGGAGAATTCAATTATTTTTTAAATACAAAAATAAATAATTTAAAATTAAATAATTAAATTTTTCTCAAAATTGAATTCTCATAAAGAATTTGATCAACAAATTTTTAAAAAATCCTATTCTTTTGACGAATTTTAATAAAAATTTTAAGGATAATTACATTTTTTATGAAAATAATTGAATTCCTAAAAAGAATTTTATTATTTATGAAAATATATCAATTATTGCGAAGAAAATTATTTAAAAATTTGTAAATAACTGAATTCCTGTGAAATTTTTATTATTTATAAAAATAATTAAATGTTTGCGTAGAATTTTATTAAATTTTTTTTTAAATAATTAAATTCTTTCTGAAAATTTGATTAAAATATGTAGTAGATATTGAAAATCATTGTGAAGAATCTTTGAAAATAATTAAAATTTTGCCAAAAATTTTTCTAAAATTGTTCAAAATAATTGAATTTCTGTGAAGAATTTTAATACTTTTGAAAATTATTGAATTTTGGAAAAGAATTTTATTATACATTTATTATTTATAAAGATAATTGAAAATTTTGACGAGAATTTAAAAAAATTTTTGAACATAATTGAAAAATTTCTCCGAAGAATTTTATTACTTTTGAAAATAATTGAATTCGTGAATTTCGTGCCAAGAAATTTATTTCATTTTATTTTACTTATTGAAAACAATTGATTTGTTTAAAAAAAATTAAAATTCTTTCGTAAAATTTATTTAAAACTATTAAAAATAATTCAATTCTTATGAAGAATTTTTATTAAAATTTTTAAAAACAATTGAATTCTTTTGATGAATTTCATTTAAATTGTATTGAAAATAAATGGATTCCCGTGAAGAATGATATGTAAATTCTATTTTAAATAATTGAAAATAATAGATATTAAAAATCATTGAATTGAGGAAAATTTTTGAAAATAATTAAAATTTTGCCAAGAATTTATCAATATTTTTGAAAATAATTGAATTTCTACAAAGAATTTTAATACTTTTGAATATAATTGAATTCTTGTGATGAATGTTGTTATTTATGAAAATAATTGAATTTTGAAAAGTATTTTATTAAAATTCCTGAAAATAATTGAATTTCTAGGAAGAATTTTGTTATTTATCAAGATAATTGAATTCTTTCGAAGAATTGAGTTAAAACTTTTGAAATAATTAAGTATAATTTTAAAAAATTTGAATTATTAAAATAAAAAAATTAATTTTTTTAAAATTACAAATAGTTGTTCAAGAATGAAGCTATTTGAAAAGAAATTATTGTCAGAAATAGAAAAAATTGAAGGTTTGTATTAAAATTCGTGGTAATACAGAATTTTCTTATGAATTAAAAAAATGTGTGGCAACCCTGAGATAGTTGATAATAGAGAGTTAATTTTTCTCCTTTTTATTTCTAGCTCGGATGTACAAACTATGCTGGTTCGTAGTTCTTGGGGTCAGCTTTTCACACTAGGACTGGCACAATGTGCTTACACCTTGTCGCTACCTAGTATTCTCACATCGATAATAAATCACCTACAGGCCAGCATTGCTCAAGAAAAAATTACCGCGAGTAAAGTGAAATCGATCACGGAACATATTTGTCGTCTTCAGGACTGCGTTGGTTCTCTTCACAAACTGCAAGTCGATTCCGTCGAGTATGCTTATCTTAAAGCTCTGACACTTTTCAGTGCAGGTAAGAAAATTGCCTCAAAAGTAAAAATTTATTTATCATTCATTTGATGGAAATATTTGACAAGAAAAATATTGCAGACAACGTATTGGCTGGGATTTGGAGAAAAAAAGTGGAAGTGCTGCAGGAGGCGGCATGGAATGAATTGCAACAACGTGTCGGATCGGAGAGACTACCTCGTCTTCTATTAAGACTTGCACCCCTACGATCAATAAATCCACGTGTACTGGAGGATCTATTTTTTGCAGGTCTCATTGGTAAAGTCAGTGTAGCTAGTGTAGTGCCTTATATTCTCACCATGCAAGACTGCAAAGCCGAACCGGAGAGTCAAATGGGATGACAAGCGTTATTAGTGCAATTCAAATTTCACCTAAGATATACAGACTAGTATTGGATGCCTGCCTGCCTTTTCATTGTCTTCTTTCACGAGAGAAAGAAACTCAAGCTTTCTGTGATTCTTCAATATATATCAATTTAAGATTTTGACAAACAAAAAACAAGAAATATTTACAAAAACAAAGTACCAATATTTAACACCAATACTGAATTTCGTGAGTTCTGACACTAAAAAAAGTCAACTCTTTTCTTATAATTAGCATAAAAAATAATTTGAAGAATCAGAAAATTTTTCAATGGGAAATTTGAATAAGCACACGGAAAAATATTTGGGAAATTTTAACCAGAACAAGGAAAAAAAATTTGAAATAAATATATGAGAAAATTCGATATTCTCAATTATTTCAAATTAAAAGAAATAAATAAATAAATAAACAGTATTTATTTAGATGAAAATTTTATGCAATTGAAAATTGTGATCCTATATAGTAATTAACAATTTTACTATATAACAAATTTTTTCTCATTGACGATTTTTTAATGGATTTACTGTTGTTGAGATTTTAAATTTATCACTACACGAAATTCAGTGAAAGCGGAAACTTTGTATAAAATACTTGGTAGCCTTCACTTTTCTTTCTTGTTATTTTACGTTTGTTATATTCGCTTCCAAACAAAATATTTTTTTTAAGTCTGTTAATTAATTTAAAAGAAACTGTTGAGTAATAAATTAATTTTAAAAAATTTACTTTATATCGTCTAGAAAGACTTTTTCTAACTGAAAATAAATTTTTTTGCTAAATTTTTTATTTATTGAATTTTCAATAAATTTATTTAGTCGATTTAATTTCAATAAATATTTAAAAAAGGAATTTTTAGTTAAAAATAAAGAGGGATTTTTCCAATTAAAAAAAGATAGTGAAGTTTAGTGGAAAAAAAATAATTTTAATTGATAGAAGAATGAAATTTGTTGAAAAAAAATTATAGAAAAATTCATATTTGTTTGAAAGGCATTTATTATCTTCGCACATGTTAAAGCGCCACTTCCAAAGTATTCTTAATAATTTTTCATTCTTTTAGTGATTTGAGAAATGTTTTCTTGAAAATTTCAAGAATTACGAGATATCACAAATGATAACAGTACCTGCAATTATTGCAATGTTTATTCTCAGTGAATTTATAAAACGATAATTTAACATTGAATGATTGTTTTCTTATATGCGAAATGTTGATATTAATATTAACATATTGAATAATTTGAATATTCGACGAAATATATAATAACGATTTTAAGTTGAACGATGAGTTAACACGTTTGTATTTTTTTTTTTTTTCTGGGAAAGTTAAAGGTATTACTTTTTTTGTCAAGTGTGAACACTTACAACAAGATTTTATTGTACATGTGCTTAATTTTTAAAATGTAAATTTATTACATTATTGTAAAATGTAATTATATACATATATTATATTATATTTGTAATGACGATTCGTTAATTATGTTCTGGATAGATTAAACTCTGTACTTAGCTCCCATACATTTTTTTCAGATTAGAGAAACCAAAGTCATAAAATATTTCATTTATATAAGTATATTCTATTATTCTTTCATCGTCATTTTTTCTCTAGAAACAACGAGCGACAGTTTTTATTTCTATCCATAAACATGTTTCGGGTACTTATAACTGTAATCCATCCATATTTTCGTATCAAAATTTTAATTATTATTAAAAATTATTATGTTATAATTCGAAAGGGTGAAGGCGATATAAAATGAAAAAGAGATGTGATGAGAGTATTAACGAAATTTACGTTAGCTATTTTTTAAGAAAGTTAAAAGTTCTCTTTCATAAAATGAAAATTATACTATATTCAAAAATAATCATTTTTCTAAATACATGTTTTTAATTATATAAATATATGTTAAATAAATAAATCGAAATTTTTAAATTTTTTCGTCAGTACTTTTATGAAGAGAATCTTTTATATTTGAGAAAAGAGTAATTTTTTTTTATTTTTTGAAACTAAAGGTACAAAATGAACTTTTAATAAAATTAAAAGTTCTATAAATGGTGCACCCTGCAATACAAAAAAAGTGCCAAGAGAATTTTATTTGAATTTGTTTTCTTTTTTAATTACAAAAATGTAATTTTACAAAATGTTGTGCAGAATTGTTAAAGAAATAATAGTTAAACAAAAAAATTCTATTTGTAAAAAGTTTATAAAATTGATCGAAATTAAACCAAGTTTAATATTGTCAATAAAAATTAAATATATAGGATTTTAATAAATTGAAGGGGCTACTGCAATGTAAATAAATTTGTGCCTATAATGAAAATATATTTATACTGATATTTTGTAATTATATGACAGCATTGAAAATAAACAGAATTTTTTTTTAATTCTGAATAAGTTTTTACTTTTTTATTTGAGAAAACAAATTCTACATTTTTTTCTGTAGCTTATTTTTAATATTTTTCAATTTTTCAAATTAATTTTAATTTTATTTTAATTTTCAATTTTTTAATTTAATTTATCAACGTTTTTTTAAAAGAAAAACAAACTTTGCCAGTTTGAATAAATAAATAAAATAAAACTTTTTTGATATTTAATATTAATTTATTAACAATTTTTTTTACTGTCCTTATATTTGAATAAATAAATAATAGAAAAAAATTAATTTTAATTGAATCATTATTGAATTAAAATGAAAAGCAATATTTTTTCTATTTTTATTATTCTCTAATTATTATTTTTGTAAAAAAGTTGATTAAAGAACGTGATTTATAACATTTTTAAATCATTTTTTGATATAGTCTTCTCAGTCGACCAATGATAAAAATTTATTAAACGCATGCGCAATGAGTTGATGACACTGGTCATGTGTTGGAGGAGCATTGAAAAGTATTGAGAAATTAAAGTACTATAGGAAGTCGTGCTCGTATAGTTTGTTCGATTGCGTCTTATTACCAATTGAGAGAAATTGATTAACAATTTGTGGAATTACATAAACGAGTAAACGTCTCTTATTTTTTCCCCTCTCACTGAATTTATAAACGAAAAATTAGTGATTATACAGTGCTAAAGAAAAATTCCCAATTTTGCATGCCACGAGGATAAAAAAAACGAATTCTTCAGCGTCTGGATATCTAACATTTTTTTATACACCGGCTGACATAAAGTAACAATCTTCGGTTTACTCCAAAAAAGAAGTGTATCCAACAAGAGTGATTTAATCATTTTCAATGTGATTTTCAGAAAACGTAAAAAATACCCATATCTGTGATCTTTAATTTTTAATCTCTATAATTGTTTAGAGAAAAATTACTCGGTAATTTTAGTGTTTAAAAATTAAACAAAAAATAATAGGTGGATCGTGTGGGTCTGCTGTTGAAGTGGATCAGGTGATGACTTGTACATTTTAATATATACATATATACCGTTCAAAGTGATTGTCGTATGGAAAAATACCGGCTTTCCATTTTTTGCCCTTTTTTTCTTGCCAAAGCGCAAAAAATCGCCTGACAAGAAAAAAAATCGACAAAAGGTAATTGAACTCTTACTGATTGCGCTGATTGCTAAATGGTTCAAATTATTGTATTTATACAAATTGTTATAATAGGCAATAATATTTTTCCACTTGAAATACTTCTTTGAATTATAATAATAATAAAATAAAAAATAAATTCAGAATTATGATTAAATTTTAAATCCAATAAAAAATAAATTGAAAATTGACTTTATCTTTCAGAGAAATCGAACTACAAAACATGGAACCTCCAATAACTCGATCTGACTCACGCCTTCCAAAAACTACAACAATCATTGATGACTACGAAATCAGTAATCACGTCCTAGGCTTGGGTATCAATGGAAAAGTGGTGCAATGTTACGACAGAAAAACGAGAGAAAAATATGCACTCAAGGTAAACAATTTATTTTAAAGCTTGACACAATTGTGTTTTGTATATATGTGTGTTTGCGTGTGTTAAGGAAACAAAAATTATCACTTCCTCTCCTTTTCCTCTTGTGAAAAAAAAGTTTAAGTATATTAAAAATCGATCAAGGACACATTTTGAAAAGAAAAAATTCTCTGAAATCGTCGTTTTAAAAATTGTATTGAAAAATAAATAATAATTTCATGCATTGATTTTTACATCTACACAAGAGAAATGTATGTGATCTAGAAAGAAAGATACACGTGAAAAATGAATTTTCAAAACTACCCACATAGCACCATAGTATGAGGTAAGGTTATGTTGAGTACTAATCGTAAGGCACATAAGGTTACACAATATTGCTGCGGTAGACCTGAGGTGAACTAAAAACTTCCGCCATGGAGGTAAGGTTACATGTTAGGGTGTGGTGAGTATATATGATAAGGCCATGGTAACCTTACACGTTAAGGTTAAGGTAACCTTACACGTTAAGGTTGATGTAACCTTACACGTTAAGGTTGAGGTAACGTTACATGTTAAGGTTGAGGTAAGGTTACATGTCAAGGTTGAGGTAAGGTAATTATTAAGTTGTAAGGTTGAGGTAAGGTTGTGATAAATTTACCAGTTATGGAAAATATTAAAAAAATAATTAATAAATAAATATTCAATTAAAAAGTTAGTTTGTTGCTCTTCTCTATTTTGGAAACCTGACATGAAGCAGAAAATTTTGAAAACAAATTTGGGGGGACTGGGATTCGAACCCGGGATCGACGCGCATAAACCTATCATTCTAACTAACTGAGCTAAGTAGAGAACTGGCAGAAGGAAAATTAATGTTGCCTTTAAGGTGAACCAAGAAGATGATTAACTCCTTAAAGGCAATATTAATTTTCCTTCTACCAGTTCTCTACTTAGCTCAGTTAGTTAGAATGATAGGTTTATGCGCGTCGATCCCGGGTTCAAATCCCAGTCCCCCCAAATTTGTTTTCAAAATTTTCTGCTTCATGTCAGGTTTCCAAAATAGAGAGGAGCAACAAACTAACTTTTTAATTGAATATTTATTTATTAATTATTTTTTCAATATTTTCCATAACTGGTAAATTTATCACAACCTTACCTTAACCTTACCTCAACCTTACAACTTAATAATTACCTTACCTCAACCTTGACATGTAACCTTACCTCAACCTTAACATGTAACGTTACCTCAACCTTAACGTGTAAGGTTACATCAACCTTAACGTGTAAGGTTACCTTAACCTTAACGTGTAAGGTTACCATGGCCTTATCATATATACTCACCACACCCTAACATGTAACCTTACCTCCATGGCGGAAGTTTTTAGTTCACTTCAGGTCTACCGCAGCAATATTGTGTAACCTTATGTGCCTTACGATTAGTACTCAACATAACCTTACCTCATACTATTGTGCTATGTGGGTAGACGAATATCTGTGAGAAATGTAAATCGAATTTTGGAAAGTATCCAGACAGTTTTCTTCTTTCAATTTGTTTAATATCAAACTTAAAAGCTCTTAATGGGATTGGAAATTAAGATATTTTTAAATTTGACATTTAAACATGGCAATATTTCGTTAATTTTTTTTTATAAGCGACGCTCAATGGTAAATTAAAAATAAACTGATTTAAATTTTCTTTTTCCAGTTCAAAATAAAAATATTTTAGAATATCAAAGAAACTTATACAGAAGCGATTTAATAACAAAAGACTGGATAAAAAAGAAAAATTAATTAATTGAGTAATCCAGAAGTTCAAGTTTTCTTTATGGTTAAACTTAATTTTTTTTAATAAAGAAAATTCAGTATAATATATATAAATAGAAATATTTTTCACTCATTCGTTCAAGTTTAAAATTAAACAAAGTAGAACAAGATCGTAAGAATTCCATCCCCTCTTTTTTGTTTTTTTTTTACTAAACTTTTATGATCGAAACTCAAAAGAGGAAATTAATGTTTGTCGTACCTACAATTTCTCACGATGCAATTTTGTTGAAAGTCTTTTTAATGTGAGAAAATTTCTGTTTACTATAAGGTAAAAGCACCAGTACTTGGACACTTTTAAAATATAAGCAAATTTAGCAACGATTTTTACAAAGATAGTATAGTTTTACTTGCCAAACTTTACCGTAATAGTTGGACATGCCATTTTAGAGGATCCAGTAGTTGGACACGATAAGGACCAATAGTTGGACATAACGAAATACGCATAATATTTATTTGCATATATAATGTTTGTATTTGTATATTAATTAATTCATTATTTAATTAGATTAAAGCTTGTTAAGTTTTTGTCCAACTACTGGTGCTGCTGGGTTTTAAGGTTATAAAGCAGAAGGTAAATTTGGACACTCATTTTGAGTAGTTCGAGGCTTATAATTTTTTTTTGATAAATTTTGTGCTTAGAAATTAAAAAATTGAATTATATCCAACAGAGATCCAAAAGCTAACATTCAGAAAGGGCATAATATTATTTTTCATTTATATTGAAAGGATTGAAAGCAGTCTTAATTCTTTTTGTTACTGTCCATCTATTGGTTCCATTTTTTGTAATGTCCACGTACTGGTGCTTTTACCTTATAGAGAAAATACTATAAAAAAACAAATAAACAAACGGTTCAAAAATGTAGGTTATGTTCTCAACCGGAAAAGAAATCGAAAGTGGAAATTGTGCAACTAATTGTATTAAAGATATTTTACAAACTTATGTTCAAAATAATTGGATCGCATTGTAATTCAGTTAATATAATTAAAAGAACTTTCTTTTATTCACAAATTATTGAAAAACAAACACAAATACTGTACAACATGATGGTATTTTTGTTGCAACTGAAATTAAACTGCCGCTGGCGGCGCTGCTTGCAAAAGACGCCATACTTGTGACGTCAGTTTGCACATGCGCAATAGTGCGCAATAGCAAAATCCTCTTGAAATAAAACGGACAGAAAAATATTATATTTGAGAAGATTATTTTCAATCCGAGTGGAAAATTCTATAATAGTTCTAATCAACTTTCCTTGCAAAGAGAGAAAAACAATTTCACATGAAGACTAATAATTACTTTCACTTCGAGCACAAAATAGTAAAGGATTTCCAGGACTTCCAATACTTTGACAACAATTGAGCCCGCCCGTGCAATAACTTACAATAATTTGTCTACGTTCCTCGTTTATAAAATATCATAAAAAAATGTTAAATTGAAAATAGAAATTTAAGGATTTTTGCAAATCAAATATTCCTTTTCTATCCGCAAATAAGATTTATTTCACGGTTATATTTTATAAATTGAGGACGAATTTTCTACACGCGGAAGTTTAAGAAAAATACATTTGTAATTAAAAAAAAATAATAGGTGGATCGTGCGGGTCTGCTGTAAAGACCCCAAAATCGCTTTTTTGAGGATTTTCAACATTTTTTTTCTCTTTAACCTGACGTGCTAGAGACTTCCACAAGGTCTTAAATTAAAGCTTGTAATGTGCACTACAAGACCCATATCCATAAAATAAAAAAAATTGGACAAGTGCGAGTTGTACTCGCACTGCAATGGCGGGTTCCGTACACAAATATTAAAACAATACTTGCAACATTTATCGGTAATTAGTAGAATTAAAATAAATAATTAAAAAAATATATTAAAATCATTTGATAAAAAAGAATAACTAAAAAAATTAAAGTATTGTATATATCTAATATTGTAAACAATAATAAGCAGAGGAACTATAATTTTGAAAATTTTGTTCCTCTGCTTATTTATTATTGTTTACAATATTAGATATACAATACTTTAATTTTTTTTAGTTATTTCTTCTTATCAAATGATTTTAATATATTTTTTTAATTGTTTATTTTAATTCTACTAATTACCGATAAATGTTGCAAGTATTGTTTTAATATTTGTGTACGGAACCCGCCATTGCAGTGCGAGTACAACTCACACTTGTCCAATTTTTTTTTATTTTTAGTTAAGAAACTAAAGTCAGAAAACAATCTCTCATTTATTCTCTTAAAATTTCACTCTTCCTTAAAATATTTAATGCCACGTGTTTAAACTAAAAAAAATTAAAAAAAATTTTTTTTTAAAAAAGTTTCTTAAATAAATTTTTTGTCGTCAGACTGTAATAATACACCAGGATACCCATTTCCAGCTCATTAGGTCAAATAATGTAAAAGTTAGGGAAAAAAAATTTTTTTTTTTTAATTTTTTAGTTTTTCCTTGACAACGCTATGGCCATCATTACATATCAAGTTCTCTATATTTTTCCTGTAATATTCGAGTAAAAATACACCAGCATGCAAAATTTCAGCTCTCCATGTCGAATAGTTTAGAAGTTAAGGGGGGGGAATGGTCACTTTTTATGTATTTTTGGCCAAAAATCTTGTTATTTCCTTGACAACGCTATGCCCATCACGTCCAATCACATTCGCTATATTTTTCCTGTAATCTACGAGTGAAAATACATATCTGGACCAAATTTGAGCTCTTTAGGTCAAATAGTTTAGCCGCTAGGGGGGGGGGACACGATTTGGCTACGGACAACAGAGTCTCACCAATAGGGTTCCGCCGATACACCGTAGGTGTACGGAACCCTAAAAATTAAGATTTCTTTCAAAAAATGGGGTTGAAGACACTAAAAAGATGTGTTTTTGGATTGCTTTAATAGACTTCTTGTAATTGCTTGGATTCGATTGAAAATGGTTACTTAGAGTTTTTGGGGTCACTGATTACGAATCCGATATTAGTTTTCAAAAATTCAAAATGGCGAATTCGTAATCAGCAACCCCAAAAACCCTGGAGTAACAAACTTTCAAGCGAATCCAAGCAATTCTTAATTTTTACATCTGCCATCTTGGTTTCGCCATTTTTAATTTTTGAAAACTAATTTCGGATTCGTAATCAACGACTCCAAAAACCCCGAGTAACAATTTTCAAGCGAATCCAAGCAATTGCATGAAGTCTATTAAAGTAATCCAAAAACACACCTTTTTGGTGTCTTCAATCCCATTTTTTGAAAAAGCTTTTAATTTTCTTTTATTTTATGAAAATGGGTCTTGTAGTGCACATTACAAGCTTTAATTTAAGACCTTGTGGAAGTCTTTAGCACGTCAGGTTAAAGAGAAAAAAAATGTTGAAAATCCTCAAAAAAGCGTGTTTGGGGTCTTTACCCCCACTTTTCTCAAAATCCTGACGTGATGGGCAATTTTGGAATTCGGGATCGTGTTCAGCGTTCAAAAATACATCGGAAACCATTCCGATATTTCATAAAAAAAAGTAAGTCTTTTTTTGTTGACCTGTGTTATTTTCAAAAGTAATAAAATTCTACACAAACGATTAATTATTTTCATAAACTGTTATAAATATTAAAAATTTTACAGAAATTTAATTCTTTATACAAATTTATTTTTATAAATTTCTTTGCAATAATTCAAGTATTTAAGAAAAATCAAATTTTTTACAGGATTCAATTCTTTTTAATACAATTTTAATCGAATTTCTAGATAAATGTTAAATTCTTCAGTTAAAATTTTAGATAATGATTATTAAAAGCCTTATAGCGTGAATTTTTAGAAATAATTATTGAATTTTGAAAAGGTTTCATAATTAAGGGAATACGCGCGCCATTCACTTAACATGGCATGTACCCTCTTATAGCATCCAGCCCCTCAATTTTACAATTAAAAAAATTTGTAAATAAATGTTTTTGAACATTCTTTATAATTACTTTTCGAGTGAATTAGAATATTCTTGAGAGTCAGGGGAAAAGTCAAAATTTTCTCCTAATTCAGGGAAAAGTCAGGAAAAAGAAAATTAAATTTTTGTGGCAACCCTGATTGAGTAATAAATAAATAATATAATAATGCAGAATACAGTATTATATCAAAGTTCCCCGTTTTATAAAAATGTATTAGTTATTTAATTTGGTAAAAAATAAATATAGTTTTAAAAACCTGTAAAAATTCCGTTTTTTAACCTGGAAAACCTGGAAAAGTCAGGGAATATTAAATGAATAAAAACGTGGCAACCCTGTTTATAATTAATTAACACAAAAATAATTAAATCTTCATTAAGAATTAATAAAAAGATATAGAGAAAATTTGTTTATAGATAAATTTTTGTTCTTTCCTTTAATTTCAGTTAACTAAGAGTTATCAATTTTTTTTATTTTTGTTTACAAAAAAAGTATTTTTGTTTTAAAATAGGAATTTCCATTTTTTAGATAATCGATACCTGAGCATAAGAAAAAGCGGGGGACCAGACTTGACTAGAGTCATCTTCTATTTATATTCCGTGATTTCTCACACACGGTGATTCCAAATCACATATACAAATACATTCTATCGAGCACGAATATAGTTTTGTAATGTGTGTATTTTTGTGTTGAAAAATGTGAAAGTTTGACACATTCAAGAGATTTCGTGATTCAACCCACTCAATCCACTTTATTATGTTATTAATAATATATATATATATATATATATATATATATATATATATATATATATATATATATATATATATATATATATATATATATATATATATATTACATAATATATGGGTGATTCTCCTGAAAGTGGGCAATTTCATGTCTTTGAATTATATCTTCTAAACAACTTAACATTTAAATATTAACATTGGACAAACATATTATTTAAACATCACTTATTATACCCTTTATAAAAAACGATAATTTTTTAACACAAATTTAGTGGAAAACAACATTTAACAGCTGGAAAACAGCAATTCAATAAGTCTTTACCTCTGAGTACCAAACTTTAAAGTACTATTACTTATAAAAAAAGAACTATCTTTAATTATTCAATAAATATTATGAAAGATTAACTCAAAAGCTTTAATTTTTATCGATGAAATTTTTTAATACATCAATATAGTTATTGATAATTATTAAAATATAAGTGTCTTTAAAAATCTCCATGCTGGCACGACAAAGGATAAACGTGTATAAATAAACTATAAGACGTGCACTTTTTATATAAAAATCAATTGGAAATTAAAGAAAAAACATGTCACTTTTCAAATCTCCAAGAGAAATTGGAAAATAAATTATATTTTTCATATTTTTAAGAAAAAAACACTAGAAAAACACTGCGTATTTTTATTCATTCCTTTGTCGTGCGCTGTCATAACTTTAATATTTCAATATAAATATCAATAAAAAACGGATGAAAACTTACAGTTTGGTAGAACAAAAGTGTATACCTAGCCATTTTTTTATTTACTTTTGTTTAAAATATGTATTAATGGATTTCGTACAAATTTCCATTGTCGTGTCAAAACATTTGCACGTGGTAGGTGCGAAACAAGTAAAAAGTGTGCCCGTGCCTAAAACTTTTTTTAAAATAGGTAATAAAGTTGAAATTTATCTAATCTTTTCATATATTTTTAAATATAATTTTAAAAATGATAAAAATAAATCATTTAATTCAATTAATAATACCTATATAGAAGAAATATGAATTTCAGTGCCCCTCGATGATACGCTTCTGATGAGGTTAGTTTTCCTGTTTACTTTTCACATCTCATTTCAATTACGCGAAAAGTGCTAATTACACGAAAACTAATGTTTATTAATAAATGTAATTTAAAATAAATATAGTTGATATGGATTGTCTAACATAAAAGAATAATTAAACAAACAGAAAAAAGCAAATGTCGAAAAAGAGCGACGTGAAAAAATTCAAAATAATCCTGGTGAAATTTAAATAATTTTAATATTATTTTTAAACTTTAAATAGTTTTGTAGCGTACCTACTTCAAATATAGTTTATTTAAATACCAATGAACAGTAATTAATAAAAGAAAGTTCAATTTTTAAACATTAAAAAAAAATTTTTATCAACTTAAAAGTGACCGGTTTTTGGAGAATCACCCATATATATTTTAATTTTGTTTTTTAAATAATGAAAAATATGCGTGAAAAATTTTCGAAATACTTTTTATCTTTGAGTCTTATCAGAAAGAGTATAATAGACCTTAATCATCTTAACTAATCTGTGTTTTTATTATACATCACGTTTTTTTTCTTGGTATATCACAAAATTTCTCGTTAGGTTAAATTGTTAATTACCATTAAATATAAAAAATGTAAATTTTTGAACAAAAAAATTCTTGTATAAAAATTTGCAGTAAAAATTAATATAATCGAATTGTTTTATTACTACATAATTTGATATTACGTTTGTCAAGTTCACAACGTTTGTCATCAATGATTTGGAAGAAAAAATATTTTTTTATTAAAATTTTTACATAGGTGTTTTTGTATAAAAAATTTTTTGCGTAATTTTATTATCGATAGTTTGAAAAGAAAAAATTCCAAACAAAACATTTTATTGTTTTAATTTTTTCTTTCAATCGTTGATAATAAAACGTGAACTTCACCGACGTAATTTGATTGTAAAATGCAAATTGTAAGTGAATTTAATTTAATTATTTTATTGTTTTCATTATTTTTAATTTATAAATTTAAAATTTTTATTAATTTATATAAATATGTAATGAATATAAATTTTTTTCTAGAAATTTAATTTTTCCGAATACATGCATAAAATGATTCTATTGACAGAAAAGAGTTATTTGTTTGCATGTTTTCGAAGATTCGATGACGTCTTTAAAATTATTAGCTTCCTGTATAAACATTAATGAACAATTAAAACCGCTTGTTGTTTTATAAACTTTTTTCATGAACTAAATATTATCTACTCAAGCAATTACATTAGACAAGGAAAAAAAATATTATTTATTATTATTTATTTATTATTTTCATTAATACGTAAAACAAATTAATAGAATCAAATAATTGGCGACAGTATTTGATTATTATCTTCATAACAATTTTATTAGTATTCTAAAATTCTACAAATGAATAAAATTTTTAAAAAATTTTGTTTCATTTGCAGAAAAATTCTTTTCTTATATACCAATTCAGAGAAAACGAAGAAAATGCGAAAAAATTTTGTACTTTTTCCTCTCAATATACAAAACGATTAAATAAACATGAAATTCGTCCCGAAGCAAATGTCTTATTAACATGGGAAGAAAATTCTCAGAAGTTGCTCGAGCTTGAAATCATTGCCACCTTGATCATATAATGTGATAATTGCCATTAAATTGCGAGGCTGCCAAAGATGTACGTCAGAATGAACAATATTCTGCTGTCACTATTAATTTTACTGGGACAAATTATTAACAAATATCAATGTCGATATTTTTTTTAGCATTTGTTTAAACATTATGACAAATTTGTAAATTCGTAGATATAATTTTTTCATAAATATATTATTATCGGGACTCTTTTTTGACAGACATTATTATTTTGACAGTATTTTCATAATTTTCAATTTATTGAATTTATTTAGCAAATTAATTTTCAACAATAGCATGTGATAATTAGGTGCATATAAATTTGTCTACGTTCCTCGTTTATAAAATATCATAAAAAAATGTTAAATTGAAAATAGAAATTCAAGGATTTTTGCAAATCAAATATTCCTTTTCTATCCGCAAATAAGATTTATTTCACGGTTATATTTTATAAATTGAGGACGAATTTTCTACACGCGGAAGTTTAAGAAAAATACATTTGTAACCATCAACTAGACATTGGAATTTTATTTCAAATTTTCATCTTTTTTTTATTTTTTATTTACAGGTATTTTTTATATTATATGAAATAATTAGAAAAATGTGTGGGCTCACGAGAGAAGGTCAATTTATATTGAATTATTTTTTATTTATGAAAAAAATTGTTCACCGTTAACATTTATTTTTAAAAATATTTTCTACTTTTTGCTTTAGTCTCATACCGTTATTATTATCAATAAAACCGTATTATCTACAGCAATGACAACAAAAACAATTAAATAATTAACAAAAAAGGGTAATTAATGGGAAATTAATTTTAATTCTCTTTTTCTTTTTTAGGTTTTACATGATTGTGTGAAAGCGAGAAGAGAAGTTGAATTACACTGGAGGGCATCTAATTGTAGACATATTGTTCAAGTTAAAGACGTTTATGAAAATTCATATAGTGGAAATAAATGTTTACTGGTAGTTATGGAATGGTAAGTTTCTTTCATTACGAATTTAGAGAGTAGAAAAAGGCAAACAGAATTTCAAAATTGTCCCTAAAGTTTCGAAGCGAAAATTAATTTTTAACTAAATAAATGTTTTCTATAAACCAAAAACTAATTTTTAACTTTATAAATGTTGTTCATTTTAGTCAAGTAATTTTTAAAAATACTGGAGCAGATAAAAATATTTCGTTTATTTGAATGTTCAAAAATTTAGGAAAATTCTCAAAAAATAAAATTTGTTAATTAATCTTTCACGTCCGAGAAATAGTAATTATAGTGAAGGTGAATATAATATATTAAAATTAATAATAATATATTAATTATATTAATATTAATAGAATATATTAAAATTATTAGGAACAACAATGATGATGGTATTATTACTAATTGGTACAGAAAAGATATACATATTCAGGTAGACTTTTGAACTATTATTCCAACCATCATTTACAATATAAAATTGCAATTATTAAAAATTTAGTTGATACAGCATTAAAACTTTCTAATAAAACTTTTCATAATGAAAATATTAATTTAATTAAATTAGATTTAAAACTAAACAATTATCCTGATAAATTTATAAATCAACATGTACAAAAACGGATTTCAGAAATTAACAATAGGAACCTCTTGAATAATAACCAAATTAGTGATATTAAAGATGATAACTATAAAAATAATAATGATAAAAAGATAGTTTTTCCATATTATGGATCAATTTCAGAAAACATAAAAAGATTATTGAGAACATTCAATATTCAAACAATTTTTTGTGTTAATTAAAAACTAGATAATTTTATTAAACTATAGGGAAGGATAAGCTTGGGAGACATAATCAATGCAACTGTGTGTATAAATTTAAATGTAATTGTGGAAAATATTATATAGAACAAAGAAAAAGACCATTACATATTCGCACTAAGGAACATAAGAGTAATATTGATTTAAATGTAAAATATCATAATGTTATTAGGAATCACTTATAACAAATTTCAAAAATGATTCTATTCCACATTTTATAAAATGGAATGAATTTGAAGTGCTAGATATTGAACCAACTCTTAGTAAAAGACTTTTCTCAGAAATGTTTTTTATAAAAAAAGAGGGAAGTAATAGTTTAAATAAAGTAACTGATTTGGATAATTTTGATAGTTCATACGAAATGATTTTGAATTATTTCCATTAATTAATACTGTTGATTGCTTATTTGCCTACTCTTTGTTTCTTATTTGTTTTTGTCTTTATTTAACAATTGATGTACAGAATCGATAGTGTTTGGAGTTCAGTTTTAATTTTGACTTCACACGCAGAGTTTTAATTTATTTAAGTATTTTTTAAAAACTTCTGTGGTGTGTTATAATAAATGTGTGTCATCATAATGTCCATGTTTATCAGTGTTAATTTATTTATTTAACTATTATGTTAATGTTTATTTATTTATTTATTACAAAATTGGTTTTATAATCTTTTATAGGTATGTTATTCTCAACTTAATTTTTTATTATTTTATTTTATTTATTATTTTAATTAAGTAACTACCTACACTGAGAAAACTGGTTTATTGGACTAAACATCTGGAGGGACAAATCGTTGATATTTGATAGTTAGGTATTGGATAACAATCTAAATGTTCAAATACACCATTGACAGATATTCGTGCCATTTCTCTTGGAGGGAAAATGAGTTTATAACAGAGGGACAAATTAACCATCTTGAGAAATCCCTTCCTTATCCGGCGCGAAATGAATAAATATGGCAACCTAACCCCTAAATTAAATACATAAAATGTCAGAAAAATAATTTCGCGCGCATCAGATCGTACACATTTTCTGCCCAACTTTTAACCCTCAGATATAATGGGAGAGAATATACAAGTAGATTTCCATTATCAATTCAAAATTTATTTTAGAAGGACTATTCAACTCTCTTCATAAGCAAAGGAAACATACACTTTTTGAACCTCTGAATTTGACTCTCCAGTTTTCTCAGTGTGCCTATTAAAATTTTTTAATTTTTTTTTTAATTTAAAATTTTGATATTTTATTTTACTTTATTCATTCTAAATTCTTTATTATAATTTCGATTCTCATTTATTTTAGTTATGACTCCAAACTCTGTTTTCTCTGACGTTTGATGGGTGAATTTATTTTTATTTTTGCTGACGAGTGTTTATTTATTAATTTTTTTGGTAAGATATTATTATAACCTTTTTATTATTTATGAATGAATGTTAGAAATTTATATATTTTTAAAATTTTATAATTTTTTTTATTGACGAATGTTAAGTATATATATTTTTTTAAATACTATTTTATATATTATTTTATATTTTTTTGTATATTATTTTATTTTTTGTATATTAATTTATATTTTTTGTATATTATTTTTATATTTCGTTGTATATTATTTATATTTTTTGTATATTATTTTATATTTTTATAATAGACTCCCTGAAGAGGAAGTCAGTTAGATTTCGAAACGTTGGAGTAAACTAATTTTTAAAAACTATTTGTCCGAATGTTTTCGTTTTATTCACCTTCAGCAAAATTTGTTATTTCTCAGTATGGAAGGTGGAGAACTTTTTCAGAGGATACAAGACAGACAAGACGGTCAGGACGGAGCTTTTACTGAACGAGGTAAATAAATTTGTGAAAATTTTTATTTAAACAATTCCAAGTTCTTTAAATTTAAATTTTTTAAATAAAAATTTGTTTCTTTCTTTTTGCAGAAGCAGCACAAATTATGTACGAAATTTGTGTGGCTGTCAAACACCTTCATGACATGAATATTGCTCATCGGGATCTAAAACCAGAGAACCTTTTGTATTCAAAACCAGGTAAATATTTTTTCTACTTAATAAAGAAATTTTTGTTTCTTATTTTGCAAAAACCGTTTTTCAAAAAATTATCATTGTTAACAATTCTCGGATAAATTTCAAAAAAAAAATTAAACATTCAAATATGATTATTTTTCCATTTCAGATAGTTTAGGAATTTTAAAATTGACCGATTTTGGATTTGCGAAAGAAACGCATTTAAAAGATACACTGCAGACGCCTTGCTACACACCGTACTATGTTGGTAAGAAAATTTTATAATTTTTTACAAATTAATTTTATACATTTTTACCATTTTTTTTAAGCACCTGAAGTTTTGGGTCCGGATAAATATGACAAAAGCTGCGATATATGGTCTTTGGGAGTAATTATGTATATACTGTGAGTATTCTTTATTTACTATTTTCAAATTATTGTAAAATTTAAAAACCAGATTTAATTTTAATGTACGTAACGATGATTATATGTTTTTAATATTTGAATATTTTCGTCAGATTATGTGGATTTCCTCCGTTCTACAGCAATCATGGATTGGCAATTTCGCCGGGAATGAAGAAGCGAATAACATTAGGTCAGTACGATTTTCCAGCTCCTGAATGGTCTCACGTCAGCACTGAAGCTCGCGATCTTATCAAGGGAATGCTATGTACAGATCCCGCTCAAAGGCTGCAAATTGCCGAAGTAATGCGCAATAAATGGATCTCCGTAAGTATTTTAATGACTGCTTTTATTATTGTAACAAACTTTGAAAAATTCTCATTAAATGAAGGAATTTCAATTATAATTGAAAATTATAATTGATTTGTCAGGGAAAATAATTGAAATCTTTGCAGTTTGCGTAGACTGAATTTATTCAAAATTCAAAAGTAAAAAAATTGATTTGAAAAGATTAAGAGTTTATTTTTCCTTTTTCTTTTGTGCAGAAACACACGGAAGTGCCGGCAACGCCCTTGCATACAGGACGAGTTTTGAGGGAAGGTGAGGAACTTTGGCCGGAAGTTCAAGAAGAAATGACTCGCTCTTTAGCGACAATGCGAGTCGATTACGATACAGCAAATTTAAAGCAATTGGACAATACAAATAATCCCCTTTTAAATAAACGAAGACGAGCGAAACAGGCAGCTCCAATCCCTCCGACAGCAAACGCAACCCCGGCGTCCTAGGGAAAGGCCGAAATTTCATGGCATCCAAAATGGATTCATTTTTTACGGCGATGCATCAAATGCATCATTTTTGTTATACGAATTGTATTCTGAACAGGGAGTTTTTTTCCGCGAGAGGGAGTCGAAAGACTTGCAAAAAAACTGACCCAAATGAAAAGTAAGAAACAAACGTAAGTGTGGAATTACGTACTTTTTTTCACAAAAGATTTAAATAATTATTATATTTCACTTAAATTTTCAATTTTCCTGCTCTGGATACATTTATTATTGTCTCAAATAGATTTTTGGATCAAGTGCCTAAGGATGATCTATGACACTTTATAATACCACCCAGAAATTTTATTTTGAGAGAAAAAGCATTTTGTTAATTAATAATTATTCTGTTACTTAAATATTAATATTATCATAAAGACGTGAAAAAAGTCAAAAGCAAAAAAATTGTACATTGAGATTAAATCTGTAATCGCACTCCTATTATAATTGTACTATACAAACGATATAAATTTAAATGTTATGCTTAATCCACAAATTTAAATTAGTCAAAATTCATTAAAAATTGATCTAAATTAAGAATAAATTAGTCTAATGAAAAAAAAATTAGTCACAATTAATAACAATTACTGAAAAATTAATTATTGTAACAGAAAATGCTATTTTACATTTTCTATATCTTTCAGTATAATTTAGAAAACATTTTCTATAGAAAAAAAATTGAATATAAATTTACAAATTGTGGTAACTAGAAAGAACTGACGATAACAATTTTAATCTTTTTTGACTGACTTAAATAGGTTCGAATTAGGTTTTGAAAAGATAAGGTGCTCAAAATTTTTAACAGACGTAGATATAATGTTCAATGGAATTTTTAGTAAATAGTGAATAACTTATTCTTGATAAATTATACAACGAAAAAAACCATTAATTCAAGAGAGCTTAAGTAGTTCAGTTAAAAATTGATTATTACTTTTTTCTTAAAAGTTCATACAAAGCAAAAGGAATTGTGTGTAATAATGTGTAATAATGCGTAAAATTACACTCTTTAATTTGCAAAAAAATTTTCTATTTAAAATTAAGTAAAAAAAATTTTTAAACAATAAATTCCCTTCGTATATTATATATTTCTATTAAAATATAAATATTTATATGTATAAAATTTTTTCTCTTATATATTTAAAAAAAATTATATATTTTAGAAATTATTAAATTGAAATAGAATTTTACTTTTTCACCGAAAAATTATTTTCAAGTCAAAATTAAATTATATATCGCAATAATTTCATCAAATAATTTTTTATAATTATATGATCTACAAGTTTTTAACGTTCAAATGAACGAGGTATTTTGTATTAAAAATATTTTTCTAAATTACTATTGTAATAGAAATTAAAAATCTAAATTTTACATTTAGAAACTTTATGATTAATTTCTTTTTATAGTGACGCAAAATTAATTTAAAAAATTTTCTTTTAAAGAAGAAATAAATAAATTTATTTCATTTGAACGTTGAGAACTTTATAGGAACATAATTTTTCTTAAGGAAGAAATTATTTTTAAATAAGTTTTTCCCATTTTTAAAGTTATAAATAATATACAAAATATACTTATAGTCAATATAATAATGTTATTATCTCGAAAGATATGAAGTGTCAAATTTAGCCGTCCCAATAGAACTTATTTTCGCTTTCAAATCAAAATAAGAGAAAATTACAAAATCTACTCGCATAATATAGAAAATAGTAAGGACTGCAATAAATTAAAGGAACAATATAAATATAAATAATAAAATAATAAAAATAAATTGAAACATGCAGAAGAAAATGATAGAAAGTAATAATGGGAAAATAAATTAAATGCGAATAAATAAAATAAATTTACTGAACATGCAATAATAATGCAATAATAGTGCAACAATAATGCAGTAATAATTAAATAAAAATGCAATAAAAATTGATGATAAAAAATATGTAGAGAAAATAATGTAAACAATGACTATGTAAAATGGACTTTACTATTGTAATTTTTAATATATAGTTTTATTATAGTAGTAAGTTAAATTTTAAAAGCGCCGTACTTGATCAATAAAATATATATATATATATATATATATATATATATATATATATATTTTCATTCTGATTTTACTTATTGATGCTGAAAGTTAATAATTAAAACGTTTAAAATCAATAATGACAAATTTTTGTATAATTATTAAATATAATAAACACGATTAATTTTTAGCAGACATTTTCCTTTTCATTTAGAGTAGTAATTTTTTTCCTTTTAACTAAACAAACTAAATTATTTTAAAAATTCTTATAGAGAATTTATGGAAAAAAACTTGTTCAGAGTTGTCACGCTTTTACTCATTTGAAATTCCCTGACTTTTCCAGATTTTTAAAACTATATTTATTTTTTTCCAAATTAAATAACTAATAAATTGTTTGTTTTTTTTTAAATTATTAATTATTATTTTAGTACATTTTTACGAAAGGGCATTTACTTTTTGTAAGCCCGTTTTCTACTTAAATAAATAAATAAAATTGAATTATTTCTAAAAATTCACGCCATACGGCTTTTAGGCCAGTCGGTGAGTACAAAAAGTGCACATAAGTGCAACCTGAAAAGTCGAAGCAGTTTCTTGTAGTTTGAGGGCCCCAAATAAGAGCCCCATAGTTTGCACCACATTTCCGGTTGCGAAAAATGGTGTAAACAATCGCCAAAGTTCGAAAAACATGGTTTTTCGATGACTGTTGCTTCCGGTTAAATTTTAGGGGAAAAAGTTGTGATTGAAAGTTATAGAGCTTGGAAATAGCTTTCAAATGATTGGTCGCAAGTTAAAAAAGCTTAATTAGTCTAGTTGCAAATGAATTTAAACCATTAAAAATAGCACTTTTTTAATTGTTTAATAACTTTGTTAATAATTATCGAATTTGTTTCTAACTTCCCAGAAATATTCCCCTTGCGAGGCTGAATAAATCCCAAAAAAAATCAACTTGATCGGGTAAATAGTTTATGCATAATTCCATTTGTTAACTAAAAACATATAATTTTTCAACGGAATTTCCCCACTTTTGGACCTGCGAATTTCGTTTTTTTTTCTTGGAGAGTACAGTTAAGGAGTCTAACTTTAATTCCATTTAAATGGGAAATTGATTTTTTTTATTTAAGTGCATAATAATAGACGTTAAAAAAGGGTATGTTTTTTTGACATAAACAAATGGAATAACTCGGCCAATTTTCACTTTATCGATTTCGTGTAAAGGGCATTTGATTTCATTTGTTTTCACAAAACTTTTCCAAAAAAAAATCCAATCTAACTTCAAGAGGTGGAGAGTTAACTTTTTTTTAAAAAAAAATTCCTGACAAGTTAATTATTAATGTTTTTTATTGAAATTCGCACCACTTACAGTTTGATACATGTATTTTATGTAAAAAAATTAAACATAAGGTTTTGTGCATTTATTTTTAATTTATAACAAGTAAAAGTAAATGTATCCATTTTTCAACCTCTGAACGGCGGAGTGGGGGTACTCGGAGGAGCGTGATTCTTGCCGCCACAACTGAATTCAGCCGTTCAAATTTGCAAAAATGGTCATAACTTCGTTAATTATTTACCGATTTTTATCTTTCTTTTTTTAATTTGATGTATTTTTTTACGCTGAATCCAAAAATAATTTTATATGTTTTCAAAATACAATATTTTTAATAATAAAAAAGAAAATTTATTTTAACAACAAATTTTTAATTATTATTTATCATATTTGACAAAAAATTCTTTTCGTACATATAATTCCATTGAATTTAAAATAATATTATGACATAAAAAAAATAAAATTATTTACTTATAAGTGTGTAGCATTGTTGTATTGATAGTTGAACAGGCGTGCATATGTGAACCTGATGCTACAAGCTTATATATAATTAATTTTAATTTTTTTATGTCATAATATTATTTTAAATTCAATGGAATTATATGTACGAAAAGAATTTTTTGTCAAATATAATAAATAATAATTAAAAATTTGTTGTTAAAAATTTTTTCTTTTTTATTATTAAAAATATTGTAATTTGAAAACATATAAAATCATTTTTGGATTCGGCGTAAAAAAATACATCAAATTAAAAAAAGAAAGATAAAAATCGGTAAATAATTAATAAAGTTATGACCATTTTTGCAAATTTGAACGGCTGAATTCAGTTGTGGCGGCAAGAATCACGCTCCTCCGAGTACCCCCACTCCGCCGTTCAGAGGTTGAAAAATGGATACATTTACTTTTACTTGTTATAAATTAAAAATAAATGCACAAAACCTTATGTTTAATTTTTTTACATAAAATACATGTATCAAACTGTAAGTGGTGCGAATTTCAATAAAAAACATTAATAATTAACTTGTCAGGAATTTTTTTTTTAAAAAAAGTTAACTCTCCACCTCTTGAAGTTAGATTGGATTTTTTTTTTGGAAAAGTTTTGTGAAAACAAATGAAATCAAATGCCCTTTACACGAAATCGATAAAGTGAAAATTGGCCGAGTTATTCCATTTGTTTATGTCAAAAAAACATACCCTTTTTTAACGTCTATTATTATGCACTTAAATAAAAAAAATCAATTTCCCATTTAAATGGAATTAAAGTTAGACTCCTTAACTGTACTCTCCAAGAAAAAAAAACGAAATTCGCAGGTCCAAAAGTGGGGAAATTCCGTTAAAAAAATTATATGTTTTTAGTTAACAAATGGAATTATGCATAAACTATTTACCCGATCAAGTTGATTTTTTTTGGGATTTATTCAGCCTCGCAAGGGGAATATTTCTGGGAAGTTAGAAACAAATTCGATAATTATTAACAAAGTTATTAAACAATTAAAAAAGTGCTATTTTTAATGGTTTAAATTCATTTGCAACTAGACTAATTAAGCTTTTTTAACTTGCGACCAATCATTTGAAAGCTATTTCCAAGCTCTATAACTTTCAATCACAACTTTTTCCCCTAAAATTTAACCGGAAGCAACAGTCATCGAAAAACCATGTTTTTCGAACTTTGGCGATTGTTTACACCATTTTTCGCAACCGGAAATGTGGTGCAAACTATGGGGCTCTTATTTGGGGCCCTCAAACTACAAGAAACTGCTTCGACTTTTCAGGTTGCACTTATGTGCACTTTTTGCACTCACCGACTGGCCTATTTTAATAATCAATTATTATCTAAAAATTTAACTGAAATTCATTTTTAAATAAATTTTTATTAGGAAAGTCTACGAGAATTCAATTATTTAAATACAAAAATAACCCTTTGAGCAAAAGGATATCCCAGGGATATCCTAGAGATATCTCGAGGGATATTGAGATATCCCAGGGATATTTGTGACATCTCAGAGATATCCCTGGGATATCCAAATTTCCCTCCCATAGGAGACTCGCGCGGGATATCAAAATATTCTCCACACGGGATATGCTACGTGAGAAATAGTAATATGTTGAAAAATAATTAGAGCTTTAAAGAGTTGAAAAACCATTATTAAATTATATCCAGAATGAGAAAAAAATTATTTCAAAAATAAAAGATTATTTGACTAATATCAAAGTTATTTGTTTGTG